TCAGCCCCATGTTGGAGGGGAGGGGGAAGGCATGGCTCAGCTCTTACCTGCCTCTCAGGGACAGGGTGGGGATTTGGAAGCTGGGGAGGGTGGTAGCATTACCATTGCTTCCCTGCTGCCACGTTTCCCAAGCCATGGGGAGCCCTGCAGGCCAGGTGGCATGGCTGTGCAGGTTGGGGGTTGAGCACCCCTGAATTAAACCAATTTGCCCTGGGACAGCCTGGTGCTGTTTTGCAGTTATAACCCCTGGTGGGACACCGATAAAAGGGTTCACTGCTAAGCAGTAAGAGCTGTTGACCAGTGAAGCAGGGTGATTCTCTGTTGGTTGCAGCCTTGATATCAAGACTAACAATTTTCTGAAAGATCAGTTTTCTGAAAGACCTGTTCCAACAGGAGTCATGGGGCTGAGGCAGAAATAAATGGCTTGGATCCTGTGATCCATGTTGTTCAGCTCAGACTCGACACTCCTCATGGTCTCTAACCTTAGAAACTTGTGATTGTAAATGCTGTTTGTAACTCCCCCCTTCCAATCTTCACATGCAGCTTTACCCTGTGGGGTTTTATAGCTGCTTCCCCTGATGTACGCTGGTAAGCAACATGGCAGAACCCACTCTTTTGATTTCATAAAGACCTCTACTCATTATGGAAGTCCTTTCTTTATTACCAATATGCCCGGGCCCTTCATCTACTGAACAGAAGGATGAGTGGGACTGGATGTTTGTATTCATTGCTTAACAGTATGGGAGACCAAGTCAACAGCTGCCAAAGGATTGGTGGTCTGACAGATCCTTTTCAGCGTGTGTATTCTCTGGTACTTTCAGATTCTGGATGGCAGGAAGCCCACTGGTGGGAAGCTAGAGGTAAAAGTGAGACTCAGGGAGCCACTCAGTGGTCAAGATCTTCAGACAGTTACTGAGAACTGGCTGGTCCTCGAACACTAGGTATGAAGACTCATTTCTTCTTGAATACGCTTCTGGTGAGAACAGGAGGGGTTACTGACTGTCCGTGCTTCGGCAACCTGCCTGGGTGGCTCAGGCTCCCGCCTGGCACTTCCTTGTATTTCTAGTGGTGTTCTGGCTTTTTTTCCTTCAGTCTTACAGCATTTCTCTCCAGAGCCTGGTCACAATTTTTATACCAAAGCAATCCCATCACAAGTCAACCAGATGGTAGGGCTAAGTATCATGGGGGGGCGGAGCTTGTTCACCTAGGCTGCTTAATACTGTCATTCATAAAAGATACTTGTGACCTTTTTAAGAAGCTTTGGGCATCTCCTTGGTTAGAGCAAACAGTTGCTACTTTTATTTAAATGACAATATTTAATAATATTAAATGGTCTCACTTCTCTTGGGCTTCCTCTCTCTCCAGCCATCAGAGAGCATCTCTGGTTGAAACCACGCTTTTCTTTTACAAACAGAAATGAGGCTGAAATGCCCGTGTGAAGCTGGTGAATCTATTCCGATCTATTAGCCAGATCGGTAGCTGCCAGCCAGTTTGTGTGAGGCTTTAAAAGCTTATTATTTGAAAGATCTTGAAGGCTAGTGCATGAGTCAGACTTGGAGCAGTGAGAAGCCCATTTGAGAAGTGATTAAACGCTGAGCTCAGGATTTTCAGAGCTCTGAAGAGGTCAGCTAGAGTGTCAAGGAGCTTCAAAAGTTTCCAAGCCCCTTCCGGAGCTCTGGGACCAGCAGACTTTATCTAGTGAGTTGGCTCAGCAAACTCCCTGCAACTCAGCTCTCTGCGCTGTCCTCTGCAGCACTGCAGCTTAAAGGATTTTGTGTGGGGTTGCTGTGAAGGCTGCTGTCTAGCCTCTAGTTAGGCTGATGGCAGCAGTATTGTACTGGTGTACAGATGTGGAATACCTGCTTGGCACCACCTCAGTTCAACATCTCTTTTCCTTCAGGTCCGAGAATGGTAAGAACTGGAGAACAAGTTTGTACGTAGGAAGAAGCTGCTACTTGCAAGCACCAAAGATGTTAATGAATGCACTACTGAACATAACGAGTCTTTATTTTCATAACTTCTATAGTGCGTGTTGGTTAACGCTTTTATAAGGCAAGCATTGCGAGGCTGTGGAAACTCGCTACTAGCGGAGAGATGGTACTGATCTACGCAAACTAGACTAAGTTGCCTTAAGGTAGGACTAATGTTAAATGAACTCGTTACACCTTCCTATGCAGGTCTTGTTTCCCAGCGGTGGGTGAAATAGTGGTGGCTTGCTCTTCACAAAGTCACTGCAGCCATGCAAAAAAAGTTCAGTTAATGCACAAGCAAGGCCTTGTGCTTCCACCATTTATCCTGCGCTCGACTCCATGCTCTTAGGCAGACGAGCTCTCATGCTCCCAAGCTGTGCAGTGAACACAACCTTCAGACGCTTCTGACCATCACCCTCAGGCCCTTGTGAAGGTCAGTGTGTTCTGCTTGTTAATCTCCTGGGATGGAGGGAACTTAAAATTCACTTTAAGCAGAGCTATAACCCCAGCGAATGCCCTGCCTCCATCTCTGCCTTTAAAAGACATAGCTACAGCAATGAAAGGATTACCGCCCGTTTTAACAGTAGGGTCACAGATTTGCATTTAGAGTTGGTACCAGCTGTCTGCCATGTTCCCTGTACTGCTCATTCCCACGTGGCCTGCATGTTGTGCCTTCATCCTTTTAAACAGGCCACATAAGGCTTTACTGCTTCAGTTCACAGAGTTTAAAGAACACAGGGTTTTCTGAAACATTAGATGGCTCTTATTTCACAGGGCTGCTGAAGCCCACTAACTGATGGAAAAATAGCCACTCTTATTTATATAGAAAACTGGACCATGGCTGTTTGCAGACATTTTTTTTTTTATGGACGATGTACATAAAACCAGGTAGTACCAAAGCTGTTTGATGTGCTTTTTTTAAAATGAACGTGGAAACACTGGTGTAAAGAGGAAGGCTGTCCCTACCGTGGGGAGCCGGCGCAGAATGCTGCTGCCCCCGCTGTTGAGTGAGAGCAAGGTTGTAATGGGAACGCACCCAGAGCAGGGCAGCACTTCTGCATCTGTCTTCCTGAATGGATGGAGACACTACAGTGTTTAGTTTTTAATTTCAATAAATTTAATATACAAAACTACATGTTGAAAATAAAAATATAATATGCAGTTTTTTGCAGTGTTAACTAACTGAATTTTAAAAGTACATTTTTTTTTTTCTAAAACAATTACTCATTTTCTTAACAATATGGTAATTAAGGTCATTTAAAAGGCTATGGTTGAAGCAAACAAATCAGTCACCAGTCAATAGTGTTTTGCACAAACATAATCCAAACCTAAATGACTTTCTTGGGGATAAGGAAGCAGAGATAAAGTTTTTTTTGTAGCCTCTCTTTCTGTGTCACTAAGCACAACTCGATGCAACTGGAAAGCATGTCCTGTGGCAAAGCTGGAACGCTGGCTCCTGGATCAGGGTTTTATTGTGGTTTATTAAAACAGCTTTTGGCCACAGCGGCTTGCTCACATGACAGAAGGTGGAAAAAACAAATGGAGGAAGGGAATTTTTAGGGAACTCAAGCCCAGCTAACGACACCGACAGCAGCAGCAACATAATCGTGCATCTCTGTAGCGGACAAAGGGGAAGGAAGTTGTGCAGGAGCTTGACAGTTGAGCAGCCTGAAACCCTGAAAGCAGCATCTTGCCACCCATTCCCCAGGGACAAAGGTGAGCTCTCATCTTACTGTGAACTCAAAGAAAAGGGACCAGAACGCTCTCCCTTTCTGCCGACCATACTAATTCACTTGGGCTTCAGTTCTGCAGCCCTGCCCTGAAACCAGGGCTCAGGATAACATCTTATACTGGGTTTGCCATTTTGCAAAAAAGGAATAGCTATTTACTCTGTACGAGGCACATGCACAGGGTGTCTTTAGGTAAGAGAGATTGCTACTGTGTGGTTACAATTCCCTTCTCCCAGCTGCTGCTATACACATTTGCCTGCTTAAAGCAGCACAGGATCAGCACACCACTAGCCCTGCATGCCAGCCTGTGTCGAGAGCTCTTGCCCTGTTTACACACAGTGGGAGAAGGGGAGTGCTCCCTGCTGCACCCTACTTCCAAATGGTGATGGAGCACAGTCTTTGACTTTGTCCCTGCTGCCTGAGATGTGACTTTGTCACCACCTCAACGGCTGCCAACCAGAGTCTAGCCCTCCCCTGCTTTGCTGGGACTTGGACTCAGTTACAGCCCTGTTCCAGGGGCATGCAGACAGCAGCTGCTGAGGGGGGGAGGGGGGTCGAGGCTAAACTAAGCCCTTTCCTCCTGCTTTCAGCTCTTCCTGGTGCTGGGCCACTTTCTGTGAATGCAAAGTTTGATTTGGTAAGGATCTGGCTCCATACTTTGTGACCCTCACTTCCAGCTTGATGATGCTGTAGGCAGGAGGAGCACCTGCTCCCCACATGCGAGACCAAGAGCCCTGGGCCCAGTGCAAGTCCTCTGAGCTTGAACCAAAAGCTTTTTTTCAGCAGAACATGCAACAGCCACTCTGTGCTTTTGTCATGGGTTAGCTTTACATGGTACTACCACTATGGAGTGCAGGCTGGATTGTGTTACATATGCTGTAGTGTAACACTAGCATCAGAGCAGGGAGGAGACAGAGCTGCCCTGGGCATTACTCTTCTTTAAAAAAAGCAGGACCTACTAGGAAACAGGAATGCTACAGACCTGCACTTGCAGGCTTTGGCCGATGGCGGGTGCAGATCTTTGCAGTTTGCACAGCTTTGTAAACAAAATGCACGATTCTTTTAGAGGTTCAAGAAATCTGCTGAGGTGACAAGTCCTTATAGGAACTAGGGGAACAGATAAGTATGGTTGCATATTGTACACACACAACTTCAATTTACTGCTTTTGGAGAGACGCCACTTCTTTTGCTCGTATACAGATGTACTTTATGGCTAGATAACTTTCTTGGGCATCTCTTTCTTTAGGAATATCTCAAGCATTTCAAACATACTTCAACCAATAATCTGATCAAAACAATGTAAACGTTACTTTTTAATGTCTACAGAACAACCACAAACGGCATTGTGATGAGGTCAGAATGGAGGTCTTGATTGTTTCTTCTCATATGTCCATCTACAAACAGTACAGGTTTCATCTTTTATTTTTGCCCCAGTGATCTCTGCACCCATCTGAGCATCTGGAGTACATAACTGTCATTAAGTCTTTAAACATGAGCATTATTTTTCTAAACAGTAACAGAAGTATATTAGCTGCAAGGAGAGCATAGCCATTTTGTAGTATAGAAGCTGCCCTGATCCTCTGTTTGTTGACAATGCATAGAAGATTCAGAAGTATGGAACAACTGTCCCCTCCCACCCGCCTCCCGCCCCCCTCCCCTTAATAATAGTGTTAACAAAAGCTTAATCTTCCAGTTTTAAAGTGCAAATGATTCAGATACAACTGCTGCTGGAACAGGTCTGAACAGAAAATGAAGTCCTCTTATGAGATGTTTTCCAGAATATAAAAGATGAGTTCCATTATGACTGGCCCCTCACTCAGCTGACATGCCCCTCCATGAATCACTGGCACTAAGGCACTGTCCAGGTCATTCATGTATTGAGAGGGCAGTGGCTGTCCATTACTCCCAGCTTGATAACCAACCTACAAGATACAAAGTAAAAGTGGTTTTAATGGAGAAAGGCATGGAAGGCTTCAGGCTCTGTAAGCCTGATTTGCACACAAAACTAACACTCAGCTGGCTAGAAACAGGGTGGCAGCTGTCTGGAAACCACCTGGCCGATGGTACGATCAAAGGTCACATTAATCGTGGGGTAGCTATGAGGATTTAGAAAGAGCTGTGGGATGTCAGTCACCTATGGGCTGGATTGCTCTGTGAAGGGGAGATGACGCCTTCGCACCATCTAAAAGCTGTACAAGGGGGTCCCTGCTTGTAAGGCGTTGTAGTCTGAACCCTGGCAATACCTACCTGGCACTCTGCTCTGCTCCTGGGCCACATGGACAGATAGGAACGGAGGTATTTAAATGCAGCTAAATATGAAACTGCAAAGCAACAGACCTTGCTCTGCTGTGGTAAAGGCAGACAGCTCTCCTACAGGATCAGATCTTGACAGGGTACAAGCTTCTCATACTTAAAGATACCACGTGCTGCTTCCAGGATGTGCAGAGCGCTGGAGTGTCAGCTTTAATACTACTTACACCACCATTTCCTTTGCTTTTCTACATGTGTGCACAAGTCCAGCTCTGTGCAGTCTGCCAGGAGCCTGGCGTGGAGAAGGGTGGGTTTAAAAAACATCTCTTGACAGGGCTGGGAAGGGAATGCTCCAGGAGGAGGCCGAAGACCTCAGCTACACAATGCCGGGTCAGCAGGGATGAGAAGAGTGTTACTACTGGGCTGGGAATCCACTCGGGCTAGTGACACGTGTTCTGGCCTGCAATTCACATAAACTAGCAAAACGGTCTCCAAACTGCGCAGAGCAGTTCTGCGAGCACAGGGAAGAAAGGAAATTCCCCTCCTCAGCAACTGATGACACAAAATACTGACAGCTTGGTGTTAAGTGTTGCCAAGTCATGGCCCGTGCTTTTCCACTCACTTTGCCCACACCACCGCCAGGGCCAACAATGAATCTAGCAGAAATGGTTTACAACTTACTTGATCCGAGTCAAGTGTGACACGCAGACCGAGCTTAGTCATCCCATCCTCCTTCAGTAACTTCAGATGAGGACAGAGTGCTAAGCAGAAAGCCTTGGCTACGTTCTCGGTCAGTCTGCTGTGATCTGCTGGGTCACTTAGACCATTATGCTGTTCATCATTCTCCAGAAAAAACACCTGAACAAAAGAAATGGGGATTGATCCGTGCAAGCCCTGCCAATCAGATTATACAAGCGAAAATGCATCCATCTGTGCACAAAAGAATCAACCTAAGAACAATTACTGAAATATCAGCATCATGCAGTCTTAGCGGAAAAAACACACCACGCAAGCACGTGGCGTTTGATCAGATCCTGTAGAAGAGGATTTTTGTAGGCCGGGAGGCTAATATGGTTAATCTAAGAGTTGAAAAATAGATATTCCTTAGAAGTACTTAAAGTAACCATTGAAAGGTGATGTTTTTTCTGATCTTTTAGTCTCTCTCCTTAGGGCAACGATTCCAAGCAAGCCCCATCTAAAAGGGCTTGTTCCAGCTGAATATAAAATCCTAATTACAGAAAGTCACACTATTCCCCAGCAGTTTGAAGTCTTCTGCACATCTTGCATTCATTTCCACACTCTTCAATAAAAAGAGTTTAAAAACTTCTGAAGTTAAACACTTCAGGAAATTAAGGTATAATTTTTTTAAGCATGCTCCTGTTTAAATGATTACAGAATTAAAATCCTGTTACAGTAGAACCTGTCTCAGCCTGAAAAAGCACCAACAATTTTGTTGAACAGGTTCGAACTTGGCAACATTAACTCTTATTACCTGGATTTGAAGGAAGAGAATATACATGCAACAAGGTGCAGAACTAAGCCTGGCCCGGCTTCCCTTCGGCTAATGCTCGCAAGCCAACTGAAACATTTTGCAAAGAACCCTTCGTGTTAACACTTCCGTGCCGGAAGATCACTAGGTCTGCATCAGTCCCGAAAGTCTTGTACCTGCCTGCCCTCGCGTGAATCCCCTGACGTTAAACGCCACAAGTCAGCCACACCAGGGCACCTCATTTTTAGCTCTTCCTTTGCAATGAAGCCCACTAACAGCAATCTCTTCCTGTTCTGTTCTTGCTGCCGCTCTGAGGATGCAGCAGTTTCCAGGCTGAAGTATTTAATAGGTTGATAAAAAGAAAAGGAAGCTTGAGTACTTCAGCAAGGATTCCCTATAAAAGCAGATTTACTTCAGCTCTTTGGCACTGGCAGTTTGAGTTTACTGCAGGGAACAGATTTATTCTGGGAAAAGACTCGTAGCTCAGAAGAAGTGCTACTTAATACCGGTACTAGGACTGCGGTTCGTTAAAGGACAAGGCACACCACCCAAAGGGAGCCCAGACCATTCAACACAAACATACTGGGGAAACAAAGGATTCTGCCTTGCAGGCAGCTTCACGTAAAAGCAGTCAGGCAGTATCCCCTGGTCACAGATTTGACTGCAGATTCTCCCTGACTCCACAGCAACACGGCTAGACGTGGCAGCACAGGCTCTGTGCTACCTACGTTTCCGTTGCAGGGCATGGCCGTTCTGCAGTCAGTGAATGCCTTCCAGGTAGGTGAGCAGGTCACTGCCGACTGCCCGTCAAGATCTTGCTGGTTTCTGGTCTGAGGCAGTCACAAAGCACCCATGCCCCTGCCGTATATGCAAGGGAGCTGGTTTCCTTACCTCCGTCCACCTGATGACTTTGCCATTTGCTTTATACTCTGAGCCATGAAATATCTTCACACTTGTTATAGACTCCATGGATTTGCCATCAATGGGGCTTACAACACTAGAAAGGGGAAGGGAAAAGGTTAAGAAGTTGACAGAAAGCCTCCAAATACCATCACATACAAACCTGATTTCAAGTTCAGCCCATTGGGCAGATTTGCAGAACAGCGTGTTACAATGGAAAAAACCTTCAGCAGTCGCAGATACTACCAGACAGTGGTTCATAGATTTGGACATTGGTATCTGATGCCATGGGAAAGAGAGCAGTCACTGTGAAGGCCACCTGCTCTGACTCGCATGCACTCTCAAAGGGCCCCATGGCAGGTTGCGTCATCGGTGAGTGTCCTGCCATTTCAACTACCATGCAGCAACCTGCCAACATTAGCTAAGTGGGGCAGGATCATTAACAATCCCCAGAAAGGAGCACACCCAAGGAAGACTTCCCTCAGTGCCGTGCACAAGAATCTCATACATCCCCGCTAATTATGATGGTGGCTGGGTGCTTGCCACACGGGAAGCAATCAGCTGTAATGCCAAGACTTGAAGTCCTCCTTGAGTAGCAGCAGCTGAGGACTAGGAAGGCAGCTTTCCTTGGGTTGCGACACAGCTTTGACCTCACAGGGTGTTAACGATCTCTCTCCGCATGCCAACTACAGAGACATGCATAGATTTATAGTATGCCAATCTATGTATTAATTTACTAACTCAAACAGGGCAATACAGTCGTGCCTAAAGTTCTACTTGTACTGATTTTCACACACCCCATCAAGTGACCCCACCAGTGCCCTGTAATGCCCATTTTCTTCCATTTTTGTACAACTTCAAAAAAAACCCCAAATACCCTCACCTACATAATGGTTGTCTTTTCTGGACTGCTACTGCTGCCTGTTTATTTAGTATAGATGGCACCCATCAAAACGATTTTACACACACTGATGCCTACAATGCTGTGCACTTTCAATCTCACATTGATCAATACGGTTTCAGATCGTGACACCTGCTGCTACTTGTTACGGATTTAATGCTGCCACTCCACATGCAATAACTTGACTCCCAAGACCTCTGCAAGGCAGAGAAGTGGAAGGGCTAAAATTCAGCCTAATGTTAGCAGCTAGATGGATTACTTGAGTTTAATGGTTTCAAATAACTGGATATTTGAAAATAAAGAAATCTGCCCATAGACCTAAGAGTTTTCTAAATTGAGGCACTGGAGCTTTTCACCTCTCGCCCACTGTCAGTACCTGCCACATTCAGACTTCAAGGAACTGAGCGCCCTCAATTCCTAGGGACCCGAGGTCACGCTGCCCCTTTCAGAATGCGCTCCCTAGAGCCTGTTTAATATCAGGTAAGAAACATGAACCAAAAAACCTGGACTAATCTAAAATCGGAGAGCATATGGACAGACCAAATGACTCTCCTTTTGACTGATATTACTGATAAAATACATGCACACAAAAATCAGCAGACTAAACATCTAAACACTGCTAAGTGATCAGAAAACTAGTCATCGACTTACCCCTTGTTAAAGTTTTTGTCATCTTCTACCCACTGAATATGAACATGTTCCTGAGGCTCTTCAGCATCTGCTTTGCCACAAGTGATAGTGAAGTCTTTCATCTCTCTCAGAGCCTGCCTCAGGGAGTCCATGTTCTCGGCAGTTATCTGGACCATTACACCATCTAGGGAACCAAGAATTTACTATCCTCAAAATAAACCACAGCCTCGTTTAGCAAAGCATAAATGGAGGTAAAACCATTGTTCTCCTGCGAGTGATGTAACAGCTCAATACATATTTGAAGCGCTGTATATAATACCGCAGAAAGCTAACTGTCCGATCCCCAACACACTGCTTATGCCATAGAGCATTCATGAAAGCTGCCCAGAGAACAAATCAGTGGACAATGAAGTCTGTTGACAAAGTAAATTTAACCATAGCAGTGGCACTGCTAGTCTGCTGCTGTATTACACACCTGCTTTGGACAGGCCAGCTCAGGAGACAAAGGTATATGATCACATACCTGGACTCTGCCAAGATTGGCAGCAGTGTTTTATGCGAAGTGGGTGCTTGTCCTCTGAGAACTACATCAAAACCACCAACCCATATTACACAGGCTGCTTGACAGAATTTTAATGGTCACTGTGGCAAAAGCAAGCTACAGGACTTGGATCCTGCCAGCCTGGATGAATTGTGGCTACACAGCTGCCGCAGTAAGGAAAGGTCCCACGTGCTGCTAATTCCCCCCACCTGAGCCAGTTTCCAATTCAGCATCTTGAACTACAGCACAGAGTGGCTGAGATAAAGAACGTGCCATAAATTACAGCGGCTATGCAGTTTTGTTTTAATGTTGCATCTTTATAAGCCATCGCCACCCTCCCTCGAGCTTCATTTCTACTACGTGATCGTCCAGGCCAAAGGAGGAGTTGACTAGAGTAACATTACCCAGTTTAGACAAGCTTGGCCTTTTACATTGTCACCTGCCCACACGCTTCAAGGCTATTAAGTGAAGGGAATGCAGCACGGCTGGGGATTCAGCTCTTGGCACGGAGAGTAAAACATTCATGCTTGCAGTTTTTTACTTCAGCAAGTGCCTGACTCCAAGCACAGAACCAAGAACTTCCTTTTCACCTTGATTTTTGTGGTAGTGTGCCAGGCTATCTAGACTGGGCCTTATTTTCTCAGTTCTGCCACAATGGAAATTTGTGTTTAGCTAAAGAGTGAGGTCATGCTGAGGAAGCAGAGTGATTCTCAAGTGCCCGAGGCACAGTAGTAAAGCCCCAGACGTAGCTCAACTACACAGCTCTCAGTAGGGAAGCACGGTACTTTAGGCAAGCGACTCGCTTCTTACCTTCAACAATACTGGACTTGGCAAGGTAGCCTGAAGAGGATTTTAAAGCTCCACTGAACACAAAGAAGCTGGCACCAGTCACTGCAACAACAATAGGAATGATTAAGAAAGGCTCTTGTCAAAGCAATGCCTAATGCAAGAATTGGGTATTTGCCAGAGAGGCAAATAATCTTGAATCAGGAAGTAGGCAGTTATGATGATGTTACCAGCATGTCTCAGAGGCCTGGGCAGAAAAAGTGCTCTCACCTTATTTTCTAATTACCAACCTTTAAAAAAGCTGCTTTTTCACTCATATTAAAGGCTCCATTTCAGAATAAACCTGTGCGTCGCTCCCTTTCAAAAAGGTCCCTCGTGGCTGGGAGCCATTTGACCCGAGCTGTTGGCTGATGATTAGGTCCCACTGCTCGATCAAATTCCTAAACCTAGCTGTGAGGCAGCTTAAGAGATAAGAAACCTTCCAACAGCTACTAGGGAGACAAGGTTCTCTGGGTGAATCTGGTATCTTTTATTAGACCAACTCAAGTAGTCGGAAAAATTCTTCTACGGTCTATGTAAGACGCGTGTGGAAAGTTTCCGAGGATTCTTGGGAAAGAGGACTGCTGGTTGCCCCTAAAACACACAGGCTGAGCACAGAAACCCTACGATCAGACCAGGTCTACAACACAGCCAGCAGCTGCCCTCCTCAACAGCATGGAGGTTAAAGGCGGGTGTTTGGAGCACTGTGCCTCTGGACCCATAGCTTTGGCAGGCTGCACCTTGTCCGCTATGGTATTTAATATGGCCAACTCCATTTTAACCACTTGCACATGGCCCTTGATTTCCTGGCAAGCTGCTGCCAAACATCTCTTGGGTAGCCAGATTCTGACCACTAACTGAGGGAGGTGTGGGGTGAGCTGCAGGGAAGCACCTATGTCAACAGCATGTGGCACCCCAGACATCAGACAAGTTAGAGGCAGGGAAGGGAGCCTGAAGACTGCTGAATGCCATTGCAGATGGGACACTTTATTATTATTCCCATCCCGCTTGTGTGTCAGGAAGTTCCAGTCCCATCCATGCTAGGAGCTCTCTAACTATCATTGCAGTTAAATGCTGGTGTCAGAGGTTGCGTGACGTTAAGACAAAACTGGTTTCAGCACATTCGCAGCACACTCTGTCCTTACGGCAGCACAAGGAACACAAGCCATTCAAATCATCGTGTGCGCTGAAACCTCCACCCCCGGCTCACCCTTTCTCGGCTGATTGTGAATACTAATGGCCTGCGTCTGGTAGTTCCCGTCATCGTTCTGGACACACACGAGGTGCGAGTCTGCTTTCTCATTGAAGCAAGCTCCCCCGGCTAGAACGTGCTCGTTGGACTTGTTCATGGCTTTCATCATCTGCGAGAACAAGAAGGTTAGCGCTTTATTTCAGGTTCAAAACCTGCTCGTCGTTCACTAGCACAAACCAGAGCTTCCCAGAACCGTGCAACTAAGCTGAGAAATCTTCTGCTAGATTGTATGAGACTGCAATCCCTTTGCACAAACTAACTTCACAGCAACCACCAGAGTCAAGTCCTTGCAAGCATCAATATCCCCTGTCCAAACCTTACTTCAGCAATTGGAAAATTGCATCACTTTTAAAAAGGGGATCCAGGCTCTTACATCACCTAGAGTATTTTAAAAAAATTAGCCTTGCCATCATTAGAATAAACAGATGCAGCACACATTTACTCCCTTTGGCTGATATAAAGAAAACACTCAGGTTTCCTTGTGTTAGCTGTAGCTGCGATCACTAGAGCGATCAAAATCTACTGCACCCGAGTACAAATGAGATCCAGAGTTTGCAGCATCTGAGCTCAGTCGGGATCCAGCAGGGCCACTGCTGTCCTGCCATTATTCTGTTGTTTGACCAAGGCTAAATTTCTAGCCACTCTGTGCAAAACTTTAACGACATCAGCAATGCAAGTGAAACGTGTGGTGTGTTTTGGCAGGTAGGTGGTGGGGAGGAAACAAGGGTCTAAGTATGTTTTTGCATTTCACTACAGCGTGTTTCACTACCTGGCCCATCACCGCAGACTCCCAAGGCCAGGCGGTAGTGAAATGAGAGCCACCTTTGCAGAGGGCAATGCTGGCCCTCAGTCGAACCAAAGACAACAGGACACAAAAGTCATGCTTTGGCGAGACGAGGCATTATTGAAGGCACTCCCTTTACTGACAGCCTCTCCAGCTTTAATCCAAAGAGGTAACTTAAATATAAAGTTATAGGAAAACAGAATCATTTTGAACAATGGAGGATCATGCATGTGATGAGAAACGCAGGCTATCTATATATTAAGAGGTTTGCCTAACACACTTAATTTCCTCAAATATAACCCAAGCATGAGATTTCCATGAGTGTTAACTTTATGTACATCCACTTGTGCATCTACATGTGGATTATGAGAAAAAATAGTCATAGAGGGCTTGTGCTCAATTAATCTTACTTTAAAATAATTAAAAAATATAGCTGAGAATCTCCAGAAGATTCCATTTTTTCCTCCCAGGTGACACGAAGCCCGGTGCTTTCCTCACTTAAGCTGAATCCTTGCTTCACGCAGGAAACTAAGAGAGATGCTGCCATGGCTGACTATTACGGAAACTTCCCCGAGGTTCAGCGGAGTGCAATGTCTGCACTTCGCCAGCACCAAAACCGAGAAAAACAAATCTGTAGACAGCGGGGACAGAGGAGACATACTGACTGCATCCCGCGCACAAACTGAATTTAATTCGTGCACGCTCCAAGTACAGCAGCTTCAACTCTGACCAGGCTGAAATGAGCTTTTTGTATCTACAATGCCATTCAAAAATTAATACAGGTCGTAATTCAATTACTAGCCTTCCTGTATCTGCTTCATCAACTCCATCTCTTCAGATCTCTTTTGTTAGCAGGGACCTACCGAAATGGCAGCAGAAGTGCGCCGCACAGCGGCTCCTTTAACCTTGCAGTTTTCCCCCACGTGTCCCCCGCCACTCGCTCCTGATCAGCAGGGAGGCAGAAATCGCCATTTCAAATATGGCACCATTTCTGTCTCCCACCACAGATGGGCTGAGGGGCCTCAGCAGCTCCACCGCTCGCTCCTGACCAGCTGGGAGGCAAAAACCACCGCGTGTTTAAAACCGAGGTTTTCACCTCCCCGCCGATCAGGCCCAAGGGGCGAGCGGCAAACAGTGCGGCCCATCCACCAATAATAGCGGGGGGGATGCATGGGGAAACAGCAAGATTAAAGGAGTCGCTGTGCAGCGCATTTCCGCCGTGATTTCGGTAAGTGATTTACACCGCTGGCACCTTAAAGTGGCCTCCAACAAGTCACCTCGTTACATCAGTCCCCCAACATGTCAAACAAGAACAACACCGTGTGCCCCTCGCTGGCATAACGTAAATCCACGCTCCTGTGCCCCTTTCCCTCCTCTCCCCCAAGCACCCTGTAGGGGCAAGAGTTTACATTCAGCACATCTTCTCCATTCATTGAGGCTTTCCTTGGTACATCAATGTATGTCCAAGGTAAGAAACTAAGAGGTCCTCCTCCTCCAGAAGCTGGAAGAACTCGGGAGGCCGTCACCCGCGGTTCTCAACGAGAAAATGACCAACACACAGCTGACAACAGCAACGTTGTGGATTTAAACGCAGGAGAACAGAAAACACTAATCCTTAGCATTCTTGTAGCAACAGTAGCACTTTTCATTACTAATTAGACCTAATTTAACATGTCTGAGCCAGTTAATACTCTTTTGAAAGCATGATCCCTTACAGTTCTCAGCTTGCACGTTCAAAATTATTCTTCTTTTTAGAGTTTTTTTCTCCTTTCTGGTGCTGACTTGCCTGTGTTACTGGACCACCATGTTCTAATAACACTGCAGATCTCTCCTTTCAGACCAAGTCATACTTCATCCACTGCCGGGTGTCCTTTCAAAGTAAGGAGGGGTGCTTTCAGACTAATACCTAGACTAAGCTCTTCCCTTCATTTTGTTCCTTCCTCCTCTGAGAAGTGGACGAACTTTAGTTCGCCTCTAAAATCATGTTCATGTGAAGGATGGAGTGCGATGAACCTGATCAGTTCAGTCCCACTGTGTATCCTGAACCTTCATGGGACTCTCTTAAACCCAACTGCAGATCTACTGCAGTCGTGCAATCCCTTCACGTTTTAAACTAGTTTTCTCTCAAGAAACTTGGTTCAAAGTCTGGCAACCCCCATACACATGACCCATGGACTGACTATTCAGTCACTTCTCAAGCAGCTAATCTGCGAGATATTAAGGGGCTCCCTAGTCTGATGCCAAGGTTCCTGTATAGCACCTATCGGAAATTCTCTGTTCATCAACCCCTTTAGGGCATGCAAGCTTCCAGCTAGACATACCATTTTTTCTTGAAGTAATTAGTACAAATGAATCCTTATCTCTGGTTGAGGCTGCATCAATCTTTAACAAGATGCATTTCATATCCCAAAATCTGCTCTCCTATTCTGTGCATGTCACAGCTCCAGTGTTCAACTGCAGTGGAAAGGCAGACACACTTGTCCCTACCGTGATTTATTTCAAAATATCAAGCGGATCTTTTTGTCCGCAGGTCTCCAGACATGCCACTGAATTACCTCCGCCCTCTGTTGCTTTGTTCCCAATATAGCTCCAATCTGAGCAATGACTGACACTCGAGAGACCTGGCTGTCAACATCAGCTATGTCTTGAGAGGTCTGACGCTTTTTTCATGCCAAGTCAAACACTTATGCAAAATATACTAGCATATTTAACATTAAAATATTAAAGAATCCATCAAATCCCTTCACAAGCACAACATGGACATGGAGAAAGTTCAAGTGCCTTTTTTCTAGCTTAAACAAATTTACAATGTCCACTATTTCATTGATGCATTTACTGAAATCAGAACAGTATCTGCAACTTCCCACTCCCTTTTTTCAATTAATTACGTTTAAATTTAGTGATAAGCAGTAAAAACCAGAAGAAAGAGAAACTATTCATTATTTTTAACATGCTATATTAAACTGAGCTATACATAACCCATTTCTCATAAGCAATTTGTGCATCAAATCTACTTTACAGTTTGATTTTGAGGACATTTTCACGGACAGTTATAGGAAGAGTAAGTTCCTTTAGACCCAACCCCTGAAACGCTAAAGCTACACAATATTTTTTACCTCGTTGTATCTGTTGCTGGGAATTTTGATGCTGGTCTTCCTCACTTCCATATCAACCACTAAGCCTTGGACCACCGGCAATGTATACTGGTAATTTCTGAAGTCCTTGTGATTCAAGGAACAAAGGAAAACAATATGGCCATTAGAAACATGGGCTGCTTTTATAGAGAAACTTATGCTAAAGGATATGGGAACTTTAACGAATTCTAACACGGAAACATTACTCTTCTCCTGCTTCATGCATTACCGCTCCATACAGGAAAATCTGACCTCTCTCCCCACTCGGTTACACTACTGGATAGAGATTTCATTTTCACGGGCACTGTAATTAAGTCATGCACCAAAGGGAGAGTTTTCTACATTTAAAAATAACAGTTCAGTGGAAATAACTGAAAAGTTAGCTTCGTCCGTAACTCTGGATAGTCACAGAATTATAACTGGATTCCAGGACAATCTGATATTGAGAGGACGGGGTCTGAACCAAAATTTAATTCCAAATGCAAGACCTCCCAGGTGGTCAAACTCCAAGTGCTGACTTTGGTCCATCGTTATTCCGCAGTCAGAATTTGCTATCCGATGCCAGCGTCAGTCAGGAAGCCACGTACCCATCTTACCATCCACCAATACTCCCTCCCTATGAACCTCACTATTCATGCAGTAAGCGCAGGGGTGGCCAACCTGCATGCCACAAGCAGCCTCTGTGTTGACACGTGGCAGACCAGGAAGAGGACAGGCAGCACAGCAGCAGACAGGTCAGGAAACAGAAAGCAGAGCAGCAGATCAGGCAGGGAAAGGGCATCAGCGTGGCACCCCAGGAGGGCACGGGGCTATTTTGTGGGATGCCTGCCAAAAGGTTTCACTTCCTACTGCAGTTAGGCCAAAACTGTCTCAAAAGTTCATTCTCTCCTTTCGCGCGCGCGCACACACACAAAGCAAAAGACCCCGCTCATCACTTACCGCCAGAAGATTCATAATGGTGTGTCCAGTTTCCCCAAACAATGGCTTACGAAATCTCACGCTGAAAAGTGGGCAGGGATAAACTGTGGGGGGGGAAAAGAGTAATGAGTTTCAAATTCACTTGCAGCAAAGCGAGGCAAAACCACCCAAACTAAGCCTCCCTTCATAGAAACATGGAGAAACGTGCCTAGGATTTCAGCACAGGTTAAAAGCACGCTCCGCTGTGCCGAGAGCAAAACATCTGCATGCCTTGGCCTACCTGGCCTCTGCTGCAACTCAGCAAGCGCAGGCATATTTCTGGTCAAGTTCAGTCACGTTGCAACAGAATCCCAAGCAAGGCATAAAACATCGTATGAACTAAAATTAACCAAACTAATATGCCGACAGTTTCCAGAAGGAAGCTTTTACATTTGCATTTCGGCATGGAAGAGGCCTGACTTTCTAATCTGCTCCACACCTCCAGTTCTCAGTGAAATCAGTGCGAGCTGCAAGGGGCTCAGCAGCTTTGGTATCAGACCACCTGCCTGAGCACCCCAAAACAGACCTTGAGATGGAGAGACAGGTAAGTTAACTACTCAGACGTGCACACACGCCTTGATCAAACCATGACCAAGTTAATGCTGAGGTTTTAACTGTCACCTACGGCCTTCAACGTTTTAAACTAAATTCTGTAATGTATTTTCCTGCTGTAACTCTATAATACATATTTTGTAGGCAATAAAAAAGTTTGATCTACAAAGCCTATATATAAACTCCCCATTGGTATCACCTGACTCTGCATCACTAATCTAAATTTAGAAATCACTCTAAGGCCTGTCTGTAAAACATTTTATTAAAGCTATGGACAGATTTATGATAACAGCATAAAGAAAAATCAAAAGCACAATGTTTTCACAGTAACTCAAGTATTAAACCAACCTGCCAATTAGGCAGCAGACAAATGGTACACTAAACACACTGCTGTTTCTGGAGTCAGCCAGGATTTAATCCCAGTAGGGTCCCAACCTTTCTTTAATCCCAGTAGGGTCAGTGCCTTTTAGGAAAAGTATGTACTAGTGCTAGATTCACTTCAGGTTAAGGACTCTTTCCAGCCCCATTATCTATTATGTGCGACTATTGCTGCTTCACAAAGCACTGCCATGGTAGCTGCACCTGCATGTACATCACCATTTCATGCGTTAGGCCAAGGAATCTAAAACCCACATAGGAGCCCAGACGTGTCCCCCACCTTTCACTAATGGTACACTGAATTTAAAGGTAAAATAACCCTTTTGCCTCGGCTATAACACTGCAGCACACTGACTCTATAAAAGCATCCAGACAAGCAGGGACGTGCAGTATGCGGCACCATAAACCTGTCTGCAGCGACACATGCTGCGCACGCCACATACACACGCATTCTCCTGAGATCCTGGGGTCAAAAAAAAAAATCCACACCTAAAAAAAGCAGGGCAGCACACATGGCAGCAGGGTGCACCACCCAAAACCGGAGCCTGGCTGGCCAGAACCACGCTCCAGCTGTTGGCCAGGCTTCCAGCTGCAGGAGCGCCGCAGCTGCAGCTCCCAGAAGTCCCCAGAACCCCAAGTAAGGCTGCCAGGGCTAGCACAGCTACTGGCCCCAGCCTCCTCTACCCCACCTGTGTGCCAGAGTGTGTGTGGCGTGGGCATTCCCCAGCGATAATCAGCAGCGGCACAAGGTGTGCCACTGCTTCTTGCCCCAGGGAAAAACACGTTCCCACTCGTGGGGATGTGCCCTATAAGGTTGTTCTCTTTCAGGTCCCAGCGGTGTTTTCAACATGTTAGTTATCACCTGTTTAATAGCTTTTAATTGAAAGATGTTACTGACCAGTTACAACAACTACATGGCAAAGGATCTAGGTGACATGACTCCTGTATTGTACTTACTGGGCAAGGCTCTAGTAGCAGCACAAGTTTCCCCATAGCTTTTTATTCATCTGTTCCTGCTACATGGCCAAGCAAAGAGGACTAACCCAGCCTTTGTTCTGGTCCCACTATCTTCTACGTGTTTGCACTTCCACTGTACTCTTCTGCACATGTAACGTACACAGCCACGACACATGAAAACCGTCATCCAGAGGATGCACGTGTTGCTGAACAGAGTCAACGAATAACCCTGCTACAGTCAGGAGAACACATTACTTACGTCTGTATTCAGCTCCAAGCCTCAGCATCAGTCGGATGGGGAATACCTTAGCCCAGGGAGTCTCCCATTTCTGAATGAGAATCCCAAACAAGTAGGGCGGCGTAGGGAGCACCAGGTCCTGCAGTGACTGATACGTAGCTGTCACGTATAAGAATCCGCCATGTTCTTTACTGCCAAGGAAACTCTGGCTGAAAAAGGAGTGCCCCAAGTTGCCCACGACATTACCTAGGAACCAAGAAGTTCATCATTTTGCTGGATTGAAGCCTGCATCAAAAATTAAACCAGCTTCTTTTAGAGAAGGAAAATGAATTTAAGTACATTTTTTCTTCTGGAATAACATCCTTAACTGGTTCCCATTGATCACTTTATGGGAGGAGTATATGTGCCCTCCAAAAATGTATACAGATAGATAGATATATTATATATATATATAAACAAATTATATATATATATATATATATATATATAAAAAAATAAATGTTTTTGGAGGGCAAAACGTATATACCTGCACACGTTAGCAGCTCAGATAATAATATATATAAAAACGCTTATATAAAACATATATACACACATACATACACATACATATATAAACGTTTTTATATATATTATTACCTGAGCTGCTAATGCCAGCTCAGATAGATAGCTATAGCGATAGCTATAGTTACATCTATATCTATTTATCTGAGCTGGCATTAGCACCTTATACATGACAAAGGGTCATTCAAACCCTCCAAGTTATTTTGTTCCTTGAACCCGAGTTTAGAACCATTTTACAGGACCAGGAGCGGATTGCCCCCATATTGGAAAGCTTCATGAGCTGCTGCTACATCAGTGCTGCTCCTCATTTTGAAAAATTATCCTGAAGCTTGAAACTAAGAAAAAGAAAGATTGATTCTACTCCACCACACAAGTGCTGGGGGTATGCGTACCATGGGGCTTTTGATGCTTATCAAGCCAGATTATAGAGAAACATGCACAAAAGGACACTCTTACCCGTTTCAGCACTTGCTTGATACAGAGACTGTGCATGCACACAAATGAAACAGGCTTATACATATCTGCCTTCCCTTTCCCCTCAATTTGTATGCGTGTGTCAGGGTATATGCATACTTAGATTATATGCAGCTAAATGTGCACTTGCTTTTGAAGCTCTGGCTCATACTGTCTTAATTTATATTCCATTAACTGGGAGACACTACCGAATGAAGGCACCAGAGATAAAATAATGTGCTGTTTACTATGCCTAACCAGTCTCACCTAGAAAAAAAATAGTTTTCTAGGTGAGACCCTGACATGCACTCATAGGAAGTCTGTCTTCCACAATGTCTCATGCCAATGAAGCTTACCACAAAATGTAATAGTGTGTAGTAATACTTCCAAGACCTTTCCTGGAATCTCCAATGCAGAAACTGGACAGGTTTGTTTAAGAAACCACGTCCTTCAGATATTAGTACTAGTGATAGGAACAAAACATTGGGGCAAATAACCAAATCGGTAATGCCTGCTTTAGATTTCCTTTACACAAACACTTACAGATCCGCTGAAGATCTGGGTCAGCTAAGCAACTGCACAAAGGAGCAGTGATTTAATTAGCCTATTTTGTACATCGCAGCTGGGACTCAGGCACAGGGAGGAGTATTTCTCATTCTTAAACAAAATTCTATTCTTTTGCTCCTCACCAAATAAGCAAAAATGTTACTGCTGGAAATATTCCTTGAACTGGTCTCAATCTCATAGATGTGCACAGTTAGCAAATCAGTCCCACAAGAGATGCCCCCTGGTCATTCATTTTGGACACAAAATTCTTCTTTAAACTTAACCATACAGGCTGCTGCATTTCCTCCCTCTGAATATAGAGTAAGGGGTGTGTGGTGCAAGGTGCCAACCTGATCATCCTCACAAAACAAAGACAGCAAGGACTGTAACAGAGCAAGGAAATGCCTTCCATGCCTGGCTCAACTTTACGGTCTGGGACAGCCACACCATTAGGAAAGAGTCGTTTCCACGAGAGCTGGTACCGCTGCCATAAGATCCACGAGGAATCTTGGACCCGAACACCTGGGGCGCGAGGCCTGCGCGCATGCAAGGCAACTCCTCTGCAGTGCCAGGGCTTCTCTTCCCACACTAGCACAGTTGCCTCAGTGGGTTAGTCATGACTCTCCTTCAGGACTTGTACGTCCCTCCCCTGTCCTCTAGCCCCTGCAAATCCACTGCAAGGCACATGCTGCAGTTTTGCTCCTCTCCGCAGCATATGCTCCAGCACAGGATTGAAAGTTTATAAAATCAGAGCCACGGTAACTATATCAGCACTCTGAACAATGCATGGCCTGGACAATTATACAGCTCCCTCATTTTTACTTTACATATCAGCCTGATGCCATTGTTTAAGCAAATACAACTTTAAAAAAAAACACATGAAAAATATTTCATTTGGCAAGGGAAGGGTTAGCCAACCTGAACAGTTGCTCCAGGGTGCGTTTTCTGGATAAATCTGCTGTGAAAGCCCCTCGCAGCCAAGGCTGGACATGTGAGGTGCTCATGCCCCCATCAGGTCTTGCCCCCATACCTCTCCCAGGCAAGCACAATGCCCATCTTGTGTGCTTTTGTCCGAAGGTCCTTGTGGGACCTCCTCTGGCCCTATGCAAATCTCAGGAGACGTATCTTCTTCACCTCTGTATCTCTTTTCCTCTACTATTCTGCAAATACAAGTCATGAGCCTGATTCAAAATCACCGGTCAAGTTCCTTGGGTCAAACTACATCACAATAATAGTCCCTTCTGGCCTTACAAGGTATAAATCATTACATTAATTTTCACCATACCTGTATGTAATTTAGATTTCTCTGGAGTCCTGTTTGTATGAAAGATGCAAGGCAAAATAAAGCTGTGTCGCACTGTCCTGTTTTGCAATCTGGACTATTGTACAACAGGGATAACAGAGATCGAACATTTCACTTGTGAATGTAGCCAAATATCGAACCAAACTGTAAGGCTGGCTATTTATGCTAGGTTTCTAAAGGTGGGAGCTCAAGGGAAGCACGCTTGGGCTGCCTAATGAGACAATTTTCTGCCCGAAGCAAACTGAAACAGGTTATAAAACCCTTAAGAATGGCAACTGCAGCTCAGCTACCCAACACCCTGCTGCACACACCACAGCTATTCTTATCCTCGGCTCTCACCTGAGCAACTAGGCAAAAGTTGGGGTCTTGTAGGTGATTCCAATTAGAAGAAATTGGTGCTGGAGTCAAATATATCTGATGCCATTTGCAAGAACGTACAAAGCCCTACTTTCTTGAACACAAGACGAATTAAACCACCTGAGACATTTTCCCTGCTCACAGCTCCAAATCTTTTTTTAGCTTGCACTCCCAAACCAAAAACCTGTTGTCCTCGCTTCTCCCAGGATCATCCATTGTGCAGTTCAGGTGTCACATGCAGTCTGCTCCTGCATACTGTCTTCCTCCTCTCGCTCATACACAACATTTCCCAACAATATTCAGCCAATAAGCTCTCTCCCCAGGCCATTCAAATTTCCAAGCAGGCTTGCATTTGTCTTTGTTTTGGATTGTCTGATTGTGTTGTACAACTTTCCTAAACGAAGGGCAGGCGGCACTTAAATGTATTGTTTCAACCCAAGCCACGATACTCTGAGCACAACGGATAGATACGTCAAGAAACTTGTAGCCAAAATGCAGCCATAAAAAAGGAACCGCAACAAAGAGTTATCCTTCTCAAGAGGGTACAATTTAAACCAAGACACCCTTATGACTTCCTTCAAAACAACTCATAAGGTGTCCAAAACTGCAAAAGAAAGTCCTTTGCTCCCACCAATCTTATTGTATCAGGGGTATGGTGAAAACTAGTATTATTATTTGTTAAGTGCCAAAGGCATGCAGGATACGTTTAAAGCAGCTTTGCATGAGTTTCAATACCTAGCACATGCAGTTATACTGGATTACCCTTGAACTTAAATCCAAAGCAGCTCTCCAGATTTGTTTTAAATCATGCTTCAACACTTCAGCATGACCTTCCTCCTGTTCCCTAACTGCCTTTAACTCTCCAGTGAGATTTCTTTCTATAATAAGCAAGATACTACACACATATTTGATGATCCTTCTGAAAGACAAAGGAAGAAGAACCTGTTGCCTCTTTCCAAATTGTTTCATTTAAACAATTTTTCCATATCATGCATTTCCATGCGGTATCTGACAATAGGCTAGATTTAACCTTAAATTTAAGCAACACCCATACTTCATTATTTTCAAGCGTATCTTTAGATGCTCACACATCTTTGTCTACCCTTATTCATTCCAACACACAGAGTAGAATTGGCCTGCTTTTGGGTTTTTTTCAATTCTTGATGTTACCCTCAACATTATTTGACTAATTCCATGTCAGAGAACCAGCAGCGGTATCGTTCCTTATGGAAGACATTAACATGAGGCTTGATGGAGCAGGAGCAGCATCCACTCTCCAGTTAGCTCTGCATTTCATTAAAATCAGCAATCATCTAAGATTGACAAAGATTAACCATCGGTCCCCAAAGCCGTAAAGGCCACGCAAGTTAGTCCTGCAGCCAAAGACCCGAGTCAACAACACGTGAGGATGATCAGGTCTGTTGCTGGATTTTCCTGAAAAAAGGCCACACGTGGCTGGGGAAAGTGAGAACTGGACACTATGGTACCGAGGACAAGCAACGATGCCAGGGAGGGAAGACACTGGTGCTGCGTGTTTTTACAAGACCCCGTTTGACAAAACAGCCACATGAGCAAAACACTGAACAAAAAAACCACGTCCAGCAGCCTTGTACTGAGACGCGTATCAACAGCAAGTAATTCAGAATGAAGGATACACGTGGTCTGGATGAAATCAGTATTCTACCTACCTACCAGCATATTTCAGTAAGGTTGGCAGGGGTACGTTTCAGTGACAAATTTATACATGTCCCTTTCTTTGCCAAAAACTAGCGTGTGGCAATCTTTCCTAGGCTTGTCTACAAGTATGCAATGTACCTTAAGTAATGTATGTTTTTACTTCATTTTGATGGATTATACCCAGGAAAAGAAGGGTATTTTATTTATGCAACTTCTCAGTCATCCATCCATGTATCCACCCTCTATTCTGCTGCATGCTCAATTAATTAAAACCAAAATTGATTTTCCGAACTAAAAAAAAGGATTATATTTCAATTGAATATGTTTCTTGCTAAAAATACACCATATT